CACGATAAAACGGATTTTAAAAAATTCCTCACTATGTGCCCGAGGTACTACGTTATATCGAGAGTGACGTGTAATCAGTTGTATTGCTTGTTGATCTATTAGCTTATATAGATAAGCGTTTATTGGCTTGTTTTGTATAACTGCTAGTTTTGTTTTTACTTGTAGAGGCTGTTGTGTTACTGTATACTATTTGGGCATTGATATTGATCATGGCCTTTTGAGTGGTAGGTGTAGCACTTGTTGCATTATCTGCTTTCTTGTTTTGGTAAACATCATTATCTATATCAATTTTTGGTATTAGATTATAAGGAACTAGTGGTAGTTCTTTTGAATATTTTAGTGCTATATAGGCTCTTTGTGTGTCTTCATATGCTTTAATTATAATTCCTAAGTCATAGCTGCAAGTACTTCTAGATAACTTGGCGTTAATGTTTACGAAGTTACGTTTAGAGTAGTTTGTGAGATCAAATAAAATTAATTGAGTAACATTGTTGTGCTTGTATATCCATTGTGCAGAAAATTTGACCAAATTTGGAATATGTTCTAACCTGGTAAGGTCAATAGTGAATAAGTATCTATCAGCGAAGTCAGGAATAATAAAGGTAACAGTGAAGATAAGTTTTGTTCAGTCTTTAATAGTAATATTGATGAATTCCTTAGTGTATTCTGCTGTTAGATCCTTTTGTTGTGTGCTAGCAGTTGTTGTGGCCTTTGAATTGTTTGTCTTGTGAGAGAAGTAAGCTAGAAAGTAGACAAAGAAACTATATTGTTGTTTAGAGGTATTTGGAGTCTGTTGTGTAGAGGTTTGCATTTGACTATTACTTGTACTGTTATCAATAGTTTGCATGTTGTCCTGAGATATTTTCTAAGATATAGTTGCCAGGTCCATAGGACCTTCATCACTCACAAGTAGAGAGTTGTGGTGGGTATTGTTTATCTGTTCTCTGTCTAGTAGTTGTTGCTTCAATGCAGTTTTTTTGGGAGCTTATTGTTTTATTATATTTCCAGCTATGCTGGACAAGTTTACTTAAGGGCCTAAGATATATTTAGTTAGTATTTTCTTGAGTTTTCTTTATTCGGAGTTTTTTTACTTTTGCTCTAGTTTTGGTAAAATTGATCTGTGGTTAGAGTTTCTTTTTGTATTTGTGAAAAAATATTAGAAAATAATTGAGAAGATAGTATATATAAAGGTAGTATTTGTAAGTGAATATTTGGCAGCATTTGTAAGAGAATATTTGGCGGCATTTGTAAGGGAATATTTGGTAAAAAAATATTTGGCAGCATTTGTAAGGGAATATTTGGTGGCATTTGTAAGGAGGTTACATTTGGTGATATTTGTGAGAGAACATTAGATAAATTTAAAAAAAAATTATTTAATGGTTGTGATGAAAAATTATTTGTTTATAAAGGTATTTGTGAAGTTACTTGTAAAAGTGCTTGCAAAAGTGATTGTAGAAGTAGTTGTGATGATAATTGTGATGGCATTTGCAATAGCAATTGTGATAACAAATTAACTAATAATTGTGGATGATTCGAACTAAACATCCCTCTTGTTTTAGGTAACTAAGTAAATATTGCATGACTTGGTGGCATGTTAATATCTGCTAATCTGTTTATTTTATAATTAAAAATTTTATAATTTTAACATAATTTACACTCTAGATGATATAAAGAAATAGTATAAGCAGTAAGTATAAGGATGCTTTCAAGGCAATTATTGAATGTGTGCTAGGTTTGTGGCGCAGATTGCATAAACTACAAATCAAATTTTATGATTAGGTGCAATGTAACATAAACAAAAATTCAAAACAAATGCAATTTTGTCAAAAATCACTTAAATTTAAAAATTTATATATCAAACTACTCTTCTTAAGTAATTTTACTATAAATTTTCTAATCTTTAACCATAATAAAAGCCTTAATCTTAATATAACCAAACTTTGATAAATTTTAACTGCACCACAAACCTGGCACACATTCAAGAATTGCTTGTAGTCTTGTGCATGATTTTATTTACTAGCTAATTATTTTGAGAAAAATGCTTGAGAGCACCCAAAATGAATATAAAAATTATAATTCTTACGATTGCTCGAACCGACATCATATAATGCATACCTGTTAATTTAACATGACTAGTTTGAGTAACTCAACAAGAACCTTCACAATTAGCACAAAAATATTTTTTATGGATTTGTGCAATAGTAGATACCATAATATGTTTCTTGTCATCAAGTTGGGATTCTTTAAATTTTTTACTAAATAATCATAGCTTTTTTTTATTTGAATTATCATTATTGCTATTAGATTCCTCAGAACTCTAGAATAATAAAATAATTAATAAATTAAATAAGAAAAAGAATAATAAAATAATTAATAAATTAAATAAAAAAAAGAATATTTTTTAAAAAATAATAAGTTAAGCTACTGATTTGCATAATCATTTTTTTGTATTACTTTTATTATGCATTTGAATATTAATAAACATTTCCTTTTCTTTATTAGTAGCTTGATTATAATCCTTAATAAAACTTTCAAAATCCCTTTCATTATTAATTTGAGTTTCCATGCTAGTTTCTTTTGTTACTTTATATGCCAATACATAATCGTTTAAAGTAATGGCAATATTATTTAGCTGGAATTAAATATTATAAAGTATTTGATTATGAAATTCGCTGCAAGAATCTGCTAAAATAGTTAACTGTTTAGCAGTAAATGTAATATTATCCTCAGTTTTAATACTTAGTTTGAGTAAAAATTCTTTGCTTTGATATTTACTATTTTTATTATCTAGCTTGTCTAACTGTTCATCATAACTATAAGTATCTGATTCTTCTAAATTTTCTACTAAAAGATCTTCTATTTCATTATATACTGGTATATCTATATCAAAAGTAGTATGATTATCAATGAAGATTTCAGCTTCGGATGTATTGGTAATATACTTATTTGTGTTAAAAGTTGTATGATTATTGTCAGTTTCTGTAATATACTTATTTGTACTAAACATTATATTTCTAGTAAAACGAATAGGTTTAACTGGGTCTGATTTTGTTGATTTAGCATTACCCATATGATACTACTTGCTATTGCATATAGAACAAAATGCAAAATTAAAACCTTTTGTGAACTCTATATTATAATTATATTTTTTTTCGAATTTACAGAGCTTCGATTTGTTTGTTATTAAATTTTGAATTATAATAAATTTTAAAAGACCAAGAAACAAGTTTTGTACAATTTTTTGTTGTGGGTGTTATACTTTTATCACATTCACATGAAAATTTTGAAGAATCTTATGTGCAGTAAAGACATTTTGCACACTGGTAACAAGTATCTATAAGGTATTCAACACCGTCCATATTAATTTTATTAAAATGAAAAAAAAAGCATTATTTTTATATTATTTTTTGCTATACAATTACAAATAAATCGAACAATTACACACAATCAGTACTATCACGTACAATCGATTGCAATCGATTGCAATTAAACAATCAGGAGAGCAGCGATCTACAAAATTGATCGAATGCACATCATTTTGCAAACAGTGATAATGCATCATTCTCTGATGATGCTGAAATTTAAACTTATTTGTTTAGAGTTAAGTTAGAAGTTAAGGTTAGAGTCTATAATAAAAGGTATAAGAGTAAATGTGAATTTTAATAGGGCTCATATTTTCAAATCAAGACACCAAATTTTAGCATCATCCATCTCAGTATTATCGTCATTTATTATCACATTAATACAGTTAAATAATCCCTTCATATTGTTAACTATTTTAAACAAAAAAAGTTCTAATTTTTCATCATTCATATTAAATC